AAGTTGAAGGTCAACAAATAAAAATGCCTAAACCAGAAGAACAAATGAAATTCAAGCATCACTTTAAAAAGTTAAGGTGTCCATTTGTTATTTATGCGGACTTTGAATGTTTAACTGAGGAAGTTGATAAACCAACAGATGAAAGTATTAAAACTTACAATTATCAAGAACATACACCCTGTGGTTTTATGTTGAATATGGTTAATTCAGTTGATGGTTCTAATTATGAATATTTATATCGAGGAAGTGATGCCGTTAATGTTTTTTGTAGTAAAACTAATGAGATAAGAGAAGACATTAAAGACAAAATGAAAGAAAATAAAGAAACTGATATGAGTGATGAAAATAAGAAAGACGTTAAAAATGCAACTCATTGTTTTATTTGTGGTGATAAATTTAGATATGATTATAAGAATGAAAAGGAAGCAGAGAAATATAAGAAGGTTCGTGACCATTGCCATTTCACAGGTAAATATCGGGGTTGTGCTCATAGCATTTGTAATTTAAACTTTTGTCATAAATATTTTAAAATACCAGTGTTTTTTCATAATATGAAAAATTATGATGGACATTTGATTATTCAAAATGCTGATAAGTTAAGTAATCAGAAGAAAATAGATGTAATAGCACAGAACAGTGAAAAGTTTATTAATATCGGTTTTGATTGTTTAAGTGTTAAGGACAGTTTTAGTTTTGTAACTGCTTCTTTAGATAAATTAGTATCATTGACAAAATATGATAACACAGATGATAAAGATAAAAGAAAATTGATAATAAAAGACAACTGGCAGAACAATTTTAGATTTAGTAAAAATAATGATAGTATTAAAAGTGAAAAATGTTTGGATTTATTAACAGAGAAGGGAGTTTATCCGTATGACTATATGAATTCAATAGAAAAGTTTGAAGATGAAAGTCTACCAACTAAAGATATGTTTTACAGTAGATTAAGTGAGGATAATATAACGGATGAAGACTATGAAAAAGCAAAAGTAATATGGAAACACTTTAAGATTAAAAACATGGGTGAATATCACGATTTGTATTTGAAAACAGATGTTTTATTATTAACTGATATTTTTGAAAATTTTAGAGATGTGTGTATTCAAGATTACGGTTTAGATCCAGTATATTATTACACACTGCCTAATTTTGCTTTTGATGCTATGTTAAAATTAACTGGTGTTGAAATAGATTTAGTTTATGACCAAGATATGTATGAAATGATAGAGACCGGACTTCGTGGTGGGATGACACAGACTGCCTGTAAGAAAGTAGAGGCAAATAATATTTATATGGGTGATGATTTTGATGAAAGCAAAGAAAGTAGTTATATTAACTATTTTGATGCTAATAACTTATATGGATTAGCAATGATACAAAAACTGCCATACAAAAATTTAAAGTGGGATACTAAAATAACAGAAGATGATATTTTAAACTATGCTAATGGTAATACTGGATACATCTTAGAAGTTGATTTAGAATACCCTAAAGAACTACACGATTTACACAATGACTATCCAATGGCACCTGAAATTATGAATGTTAAAGAGATATGTTATCAGATAAACAAGTTGAAATTTATGAAATACTGAATAAGAAAAAACCTAAAGATGAAAAAACAAATAAATTAATATTGAATTTAAAAGACAAAGAAAAGTATGTAGTCCATATTAGAACTTTACAGTTTTATTTAGAACACGGATTGAAACTAAAGAAAATACACAGAGCAATAAAATTCAGGCAGAAAGAGATATTAAAACCTTACATTGAGTTTAACACTGAGAAAAGAAAGAATGCCAACAATGATTTTGAGAAAGATGTTTACAAATTAATGAATAATGCCGTGTTCGGAAAAACGATGGAAGACAAAAGGAAACACTTAGATTTTGAAATAGTGAGTGATGAAACAAGATTTATGAAATGTGTTAATAATCCATCATTTAAACATAGTCATATTATCAGCGATGATTTAGTAGGAGTTGAGAAACAAAAAGCACAATTGAAATTAGATAAACCTATATTCATTGGAATGAGTATTTTAGATTTGAGTAAGCAACATATGTATAAGTTTTATTATGATGTTATGAAACCTAAATACGGAGATAATATTAGAATGGTTTATACTGACACTGATAGTTTGGTATTTCATACTAAGACTGATGACATTTATAAAGATCTTCATGATATTAAAGATGAAATTGATTTTTCAGATTTTCCTATTTATCATAAATGCTATGATACTACTAATAAAAAGACGTTGGGTAAATTTAAGGATGAATGCAGTAGCAAAATTATTACAGGGTTTATTGGACTTCGTCCTAAGTGTTACGCTTTTCAAATCTATGGAGAAGAAAAAGAACATAAGAAATGCAAGGGCACAGCAAAGCACGTAGTGAGGAGGCAACTGACATATAAAGAATATGATAAGGTTTTACAAACTAATGAAGTTATACATAAATCATTCAATAGTATTAGAAGTAAAAACCATAAAATTTATAGTATTAGAACAACAAAGATTAGTTTGAATAGTTATGAAAATAAAAGATACTGGACTAATACAGGTGATAGTTTAGCATATGGTCATTATTCTATTGAAAATAGAATAATATGATGACATAGTCATCACTGGAGAATTAAAGAGATGATGACTTAATGTAGTAATGAAGATACACGCAGAAATAAAAGAACGAATAGAATTAATAAAAGAAATGAGAAAGGTAAAAGAACACTATGAAGATGAAAGAGATAAATATGCTTTGCTAGATGTTAAATACTTTAAAACTAACAAGAAAGACTTTTATGAAGGGTTTAAATCATGCCTTGAATTAGAGCATGATGAGACGCAGTTGAAAAAAGATTTTAATGAATTAATAAAAACTTGTGAATTAGCAGGTGAAAGTTCCGTAAATTATGTGTTTAGTTTTGACGGAGTGGTCAGAGGATATGAAAGACTTATAGAAATACAAAAACAAAAAATATCTCATGTACTTCGTTAAAAATGACTTAAGGAAATAATGACTCAATATATTATAGTGAAATGTTGTTTAACTATAACAAGTGCGAATGCTGTAAAAATACAAAGAATGATGTTAATATAACATTGTATAAGTTATTACCCGCCAATCTATGTAATAAAATAAGTGAATATAATGTATATTGCAATCAATGCTGTATAACAAGAGACCTTGAAACGTTTTTTCTTGAAGAACATAAGGATAAGGGATATACAAAGTTTCAATTACAATTAAAATTCTTTATGCGACACCAAGCAAGATTTCCTATACACTTTTACCAGAAGATTTCCATAAAGTCATTTGAACATGAAATTGATGAATTCTTTAATAATATAGATTTAATTAGGAGGTTTGGAGGAATAAACGCAATTAAACCATACAAAGCATTTGTCAAAAAATACCGTTATTTGTTTGAATGGATTGACTGGCATTTATTAGACAAAGATAAAATAAATGAAGTCTTGAACGAATTTAGAGTAACTGAATATAGTATATGGTATTACTACAACACTAAATATAAAGTATGTCTATTAGTTAATTTGTTTTTCTGGGAATATATTTATTCAATAATAGGAAAAGACAATATCAAATATATAGATGAAGATGATATAGGTAAATATGTAGATTACATATTGAAGACATATTGCCTGACTATTATTTTAACCCATAAACCTTACAATAAAAATAAATTGTAAGATTTATGATTTGTAATATTTTGTTAATAATTTAAGTTTATATTCATTCTTTGAAAATGACTTAAGGACATAGTGACTTAATATATTAGTGAGAAAATGAACGGTATTGAAATCAATAAGTATATTAATAAGAAATGCTATGACTGTTGCCACTTCAAAAAAGAAAATATGGAATTGTATAAATTAAATTTACCTAATGGAATAATAAATAATATTATTGATTATGCTTTGGGTGAAGAAGATGTATGCAAAATTTGTAGAAATTGGAGGTTTTATCAAGAATTAATCAAATGTACTTTAAGTATTAAAAGGTTTAATGAAAGAAATGTTGAAGATGACATTTTGATATTTTTAACTGTGTATGAAAGACCACCTTATAGTTATGTTAGAGCATTTCTGAAAATCAGAAAGAAAAAATATGAAATGATTGAAGGTATATTATGGATGTTGACTTGTCATTTTAGGGAAGGGTTTGATGTAAAAGAAGACATTAAAACATATATTGACAGGAAAAAGTTTAATGTCAAAAATACAGTGAGAGATATTAATATTATTTTAAAATTGATGCATGAAAGAGGTAAGATATATACACAATTTAACAGTCATCAATTAAAATATTATCCTGGACTTAAATTATAAATTACACCATAAACCTTACAATTTAATTTTATTGTAAGATTTATGATTTGGATTTATAGATTTAGTTTCAAGGAATATTGATTATATTTTCAAGGAAGTTTTACTAGTAAAACTAGTATAAAGAAATACAACAAAAATAAAACAAATAAGCATAAAAGAAATTTAGAAATGAAACAGGCAGAAGAAAATTAACATTATTTTTATTAATAAATATTTTACATAAAATTGTATAAGGTTAATATGTAGAATAACTTCTTAACCTTATATAATATTTCAATGAAGTAAACTTATTTTCAAGGAATTAGATAAGGTTAATGAATATGAATAATGTATTAACCTTATTTAATATTTGAATTATAAACCTATATTTTATATTTTGGTAAGTTGTTATGAAAATTATTTTACTTCATTCAACATCTGTTCTGTATTTCCCCCCCCCCCCCCGCAAAAATGGGCCGGCCTATGGGCGTGTCATTTTTTTTTTGGAGTTGGTAGCCTGTTTTGAAAGTTGAGGCGCTTTGGCTTTACATCCAGTTCAATTAGGGTAGTAAGACGTCTATAAGACTTAAGTCAAAGCCGGTTTGAACCAAACGGTCGAGTTTCGGACGTTCACGTGTCGGCTTCCTTACCTCCGCCGCGGCTCCAGGACGAGCCCTGGGTGCACGCGCTTCTGCTGGCGGTGGGGCGGCGCACGGGCTTGGCGGCGCTGATCAACACCAGCTTCAACACCAAGGGCAAGCCCATCGTGAACACCGTGCGCGAGTGCCTCCGCGCCCCGGCTCGACGGGTTCGACGGCGAAGAGCTTGGTGAGGCGTTCGAGCGAAAGTCCGCAAGAAGACCTGAGTGAAGGGTTGGCGCTGATTTCTCTTGTCCCAGTCCCCCTCATATCCCTAAGCAACTTGGGTTGACCACCCCACTGAGTGAGGCATGTTGGATGAGCTTCCGAACCTCGACTACGTGCTCATCGAAGACTGGCTCTTCCGGAAATCCCCTGCTGCCCAGCGCCTGTCAGCCGCCAAGATGAACCGCGCGGCCGTCTAAAGATCCGCACGGCGAAGGTGCCGTCCACGAAGCCGGAGATGTGGACGAAGCCGCCGCTTCGACTCAAGGAGAGAGACGCCGAAGGAACGCGGACGCGGAGAAGTGAGCTACAAGGCATAGGCATGGAGGACGCCAAGACAGCTGACCAGTGAGGCGAAGGGAGGTATCACAAAAAGTGCCTCAAGAAGGTCGGCCGCCTCTTTCGATGCTATTTCCTAACCTGGCTTGGTCACACCGTTAAGACGTCACACTTTGCAGTAGAGATGCAGACCGGCGAAGAGCCCATGGCTGCATGGGGAAGAAAGTGATTCTTGAGGGGGAGACATAAGGATCATGGCTCAGAATGATTCCGCCTCACTTCAAACTTCATTCGAAGCTGCCAGCTTCAGTAGCCAGGTCAGCGCTTCCACGAGCAGGCTTGAGACGTGCGGTCCAAGCATTTTTGCATGGGGGCCGTGCGTGAAAGATCCGTCCTACCTATATAGTTGCCGAACAGGGGTTCCTTCTCTTTCTCAAGCCCTGGCGCAAATTACACGAGGTCATAGTCTTCTGTTGTGTTTGATCACTTGCAAGGCGCGTCTTTGAACATGTGCCCAAAGTTCCAGACCTTCGAACTGTCCCAGCTCTTCCCGGCGCAGGCGGTTTGCGTGAAGGGCGTGGCACCTTTGGCAGCGCCGCGCGCTGGGCACCAGAGGAGGAGTCGAAGCGAGGAATCCGCCTGATGTGATGCTCCAAAAGGGGAACCTCTGGTGAGTGTGGGTTTGCTCTGCTGCTTGCTGTTTTTTTTTTTGGTTGATGGGCTTGCTTCCCTGCCATCTGCAAACGATGCACAGTCTGAAGTGTTTCCATTTTTTTGGAGGGAGAAGAGATGGTCCCGTTTTCCTTTTCGACGGCGTTGGATGTGGTAGCAGTGACGCCTGGTCTGACTGGAAGGAGCACGAGGGGCCACTTCTGCATCCCACCGACGACTTCCTTTCCACAACAACTCCGGCGAAAGGCGAGCCATACCGAGGGTCAGGAACCAGCATTTCAATTTTTGGGGAATACACAACTAAAGGCAAAGAACAAGTCGAGCTTGAGTCAAATTTTAGCCGCCAGGGGACCGCAGATTTTATTCCTTTGCTCCATTTACCCGGGTTTCATTTTACCCAGTTTTGACCCACAGCCAATTCTTGAGAAGTTTTGGCCCCAGGCGCCCATTTGCTTAAGAATATTTTTAGTTTCACCTGTTGGTTTTAAAGGCAATCTATCACTAGTGGACATATTTTTTGAATTTTACAGGGGACTCACGCAAATGGAAGCTGGGGTGCTTCGTTTTTTGTTTGGGGGGGGCCTTGGATCGAATGCCGCCGCAGGCGCCGTGATCTGGCCCCAGGCGGAGCCAAAGCCGCGACAGCTGAAGGAGGCGCGAAGGTGGCTGGAGCACTTGGCGGAGGAGGTGCAGTGCAAGGAGCGATCCAAGTGGGGTCTTGAGGCCAAGTGGGGGGGTGGTTGAAAGGAAATCCAAAAGGAGGATCATGGTTTCTCTTCTCTCTCTCTTTCACTCTTTCTTTCTTTCTTTCTTTCTTTCTTTCTTTCTTTCTTTCTTTCTTTCTTTCTCTGTTTCTCTCTTTCTCTCTCTCTCTCTGTCTTTTGTTTTTTGTCTTTTGTCATTTTTTTTTCTTTTCGTGTTAGGGGGGGGGGACAGGGGTTCCCATTTTGGCACATACTTATCCTGGTTCCCATAGTGTTAGAGTCAGAACTCAACGATGATAGAGTTTTAGAGTTCCCAGTGAACCTTCAGCTTTTTGCTTCTAGAGATTCTAGAGTATTTCACATACAGCTTTTGAGCTTTAGAAAGGATCGACGGAGGAGTCTTCTTTTTTCTCCCTCTCTCTCTCTCTTTCTCTTTGGATTGATCCACGATTGCAGTTACACCTTCTTCTAAAATGTAGATCTTCTTCTGTTTTGCCTTTTTGCTTTTTCTCTATCTCTCTCGCCCCTTGGTTAAAAGACCCTGTAGTGTCTTTTCAACCATATCCAGAAAGGGGAAAAAGTGCAAAGGGCTCAAAGTAGTTTTGACTGCAAAAGGATCGAAAGTAGTATAACTACAACTCTGCTGGCTGTAGTCCACTGACTCTCAAAGATCAAAAGAAACTGTAGTATGTACAGGCTGATCTCAGTAGCTCTCCTGTTCAGGCCTCAGTAGTGGTACTGAGTGGAGTTCATGAGATACATCCCGATGTAGTTTGGACCTGGAGGTCCAAAGTTGTAGTGAAGCTGTGGTGCTGCTTCACTGATGTAGCATCACCTGTAGTTAGGTGTGCTTAGTCCAATGCTGGACTCTGTAGCCTTGTTGCTGACCAGTGCGGTGGTCAAGGCTGGCGTAGTGGTTGGTAGTGAAGGTAGTAAGGAAGTCAGGGCCTCCTCGAAGACAAGTGTAGTTGATCTCTGGAGGTGGAAGTGGTTGTTGAAATGTAGTGAGGAGTTTGTGTAGTAGTAGTTTGTGTTGCATGGGAAGATTTGTGGCAGTGAGTAGTGTGAATCCGTAGTACGTGGAACTCTTGTGCATGATGGTGTTGATTGCTTTGTAGTGGTGATCCTGTAGTTGTTGTGGTTGGTCGTAGTAGCTGAGTAGTTCAGGAAGGTGAAGAGGCATGTGGTAGTTCCAGATGTAGTTGTTGGACAGGTTGAAGGTATTGGTGATCTGGTTCATGTCGTAGTTGATCCTGTGAAGTCGTTGAGGTAGTTGCCGAGTGGGTAGGTGATGTTGGCCAATGACTGACACCATGTGACTCAAGTAGTCACGAGAAAAGTTGATGAGGTGGCCGCTGCTGATGTAGTGTAGCAAAATTTCTTGAGGGAGATGAAGTCGAACAATGACCATGGAGTTGGTGTGCGATGTGGTGAGATGTAGTGAAGTCAAGTGGTAGTAAAAGAAGTTGAACGCTTCTGAAAAGCGTAGGCTGAGTGGTAGTGAATCGTAGAGGGGCATTCGTAGGTCTGATGGCAGGTTGTGGATGGGCAGTTGGTAGTCGAGGTCTGGCATTGGCGTGGTCTGCTGTTGGCTGAGTAGTTGATACTCCTCCAAGGTCAGCCCCACGTAGACCTCGGCGTAGTTTCGTCCCTGATCCACAGTCGGAGTGTGGATACTGTCGTACTCGACAGTAGTGAGGTGGTTCAGGATGTCATCTGGCCTGTAGAATGGTGCATTGGTCGGTAGTTGGTGGTTGAAGTGGTAGTTGAGGGCATTGTAGGCCTCAGGTGGCGGAGGTGCCACAGAGACCATGCTGCTGGCATCTGTAGTGGATGGTTGGTTGGGTGGTGTCGAAACTCGGTCAGGTGTAGTAGTGCCAATCTCCTGTGCTGGCACAGTAGTCTCAGGCGCGGTCGTAGTCGCATCCATGGGTCCAGACATTGCTGGTAGTGCGATCAAGCAAACGAAGTGAGACGGGGCAAAGTAGTGAGCCAAATGGTAGCTCACAAAAACACATGCGGGAATGTAGTAAAACAAAACAACATGTAATGTTGTCTCAAGCCGCCAAAAGCCGCCAAAGCGTGTAAGTGCAAATTACTGGTGGTTACAATTACTGTGACTTGTAGTTACTGTTACTATTACTTACATGCAGGTAGTTACATATGGCCATATACAAACTGTTGTGGTTGATGTGAAATAGTTGTGAAACAGTTGTTGTTCGTAGTGCTAAACGCGTATGCCGATGCTCTGTATGAGCCTCTGTAGTGTTTCTTTGCTGATGTATTTTGTGAACAAGTCTGAGCTGTTGTGTAGTGTGTTGATTTTGAGGATTCTGATGATGTCGTGCTTGATGAGGTCTTGTGTGTAGAGAAATTTAAGGTCGATGTGTTTTGCTCGTTTGCTAGTGCCTTGTCGTGTAGCAATGCTCTTGCCTGCTGTGGAGTCTGTGTGGATGCGTAGGTTTAGCTTGCTGCAAATGTTGGTTTCAAGTAGGAAGTTTCTGAGGTGTAGTCCCTCATTAACTCCTGTGCAAATGGCGTAGAGTTCAGACTTGCTGAGCTAAGTGCTATTGTAGCTTGTGTTCTGCTGCCAAATGCAACTGTTGTTCCTAAAAGATGATGTTGAAACCTGAAGTTGATTTCCTGGTAGTAGGGCATCCTGCCCAGTCGGCATCGACATGAACGTCGAGATCCAGGATGTTGTTGGTGTTTGCTCTGAGTGTTGTTGTTGGTTCTATGGTGAATTTGTAGTGCTTGGTGCCGTGCAAGTAGCGTAGTAGATGTTTGACTCTCTTTTGTGAAAGTTCTGTAGGTGCTGTGAGGTCTCGTGCTAGTTCTTTTGTGGAGTATGCAATGTCTGGTCGTGTGTATGCTAACCATTGAAGTTTGCCAACAATCCTTCTGTACCTTTTGTGTTGTTCGTGGTCAAGTAGTGCTTCATCTTCTATTGTTGGTTTGTAGTGTGCAATTCCTGGAGTGTTCACTGAGTTGCAGTTGTTCATTCCAGACTCCTCGATCATGTTGTCGATGTAGGAGTCCTTTAGTCCAAGATTGCAGTAGTTGCCAAAGTGGTCGATATTTCTTCCAAGAAATTGTTGTGGTTTGCCAGGTTCGAGGTAGCCGATGTGTTTTTCGAAGGTGGAGTCGACTGCAGTCTTGTCACCAAGTACCAAGAGGTCATCCACGTAGACCATGATGTAGCAGTCGCGAGTCGCATTGGTGTAGACGTTAGGTTCTGACTTTAGTCTTACAAAGCTGAGCTTTTGTAACACTTCAGCCAGGTAGTCCTGCCATGCTTTTGGTGAACTGCGTAGTCCATACATGGCTTTCTTTAGTCGCCAGATTTTGTCCTGTTGTGGACAGAGTTCTTTAGGTGGCCAAAGGTAGACGTCACGTTGTTTACCGTCGTGGTCTTTTGCGATGGGTGCGTGTAGAAATGCTGTAGAGACGTCACCTAGTCGCGCTATCCAGTTTGGTCGTGACATTTGTAGTGCGAGAAGTGTCCGGAGTGTCGTGAACATTGGTGTAGAGGCGTAGACGGAGTCTTCGTCCTCGATCTTCTCTGTGTAGCCTTTTGCGACGATTCGGCTTCGTACTCCTGGTCCTTTCTTTCTGTGTACCCATCTTGTAGGCATCGCTTCTCTGATGACGTTGTCGTCGACGGTAGACGCATCTACTTCGTCGTAGACGTCATGTAGCTTCATTTGGTTTGACTCGTGTTTCATTCCTTCCAGTAGTTGTGTTTCGTCGTAACCTTCGTTGTCGAAGATTATGGGTTGGTCTTCTGAGGTGTCGTCGTTTGTGTAGGGAGTGATGGATTTTCCGTTGGGAAGTGTCACTGCGTTGATTTTCTGTCGTAGTGGTGGTGGTTCTTTGGTTGCTTGCTCCGTTGATCTGATTGTAGTGTCTTTTGAGGTCTTCTGTGCTTTAGTTGGTTGCATTACTTCTTCCGGAGTTAAACGTCGTAGTGCTTGTCGAGGTGGTGCTGGTAGTAGTGGTGGATGTTGTCGTCCGGTTGGTGAAGTAGCCATCGGACTATCCGGTAGTGGTCGTGAACTTGACGTCGATGTTGACGGAAGTCGTGGAGGTGGTGTAGTGCGTTGTTGTTTTGTTTTGTTGCGGGTTCCGCAACGATGTCGTCAGTAGCGTTCGTTTGTTGTCCGAAATCTTGCGTGGACCTGCTTTTCTCTGACGGTTGTAGTTGCGTATCCAACAGTGTTGCAAACGATGGGTTGTAGGTGTTCCGTCGTGGTGCCCATGGTGTGCCGGAAACTTTGCTCAACAGTGCGAGGTCGTATTTGAAGTCCGGTTGTAGTCTCCGTACTGTTCGTACTTTTTGTACGCCTGATTCCGTTGCGACGTAGTTTTCTCCGGTTTCGGAAACTTTTCCGAGCCAGATGCATTTCTGCATCCGTAGGTCTGCTTTTGGAAGTTTCTTGTGTTGTGATGGAAGGAAAAGTAGTGTCTCGCCAAATTCGCAGATTGCTCGCTCGTAGTTTCTTCCCCAGCGGCGTTCAAAGCTTGTGTAGCCGTCTGAGTGAATGACGTAGGTAGTAGACAGTGCTTTGTGGACATCGTCATGCTGTAGTTGCTTTCAACCTGAGCTTTGACGACGCGGATTTGTCCGAGAAGTGTTCTATGTAGTCGCTCAACGCTTCCTTGACTGTTGCTGCTGTAGGGTGGTGAATGTCGTACAGTCATTGAGCCGACTTTAGATGCTCTTGCTTTTAGTAGTGCATTGAGTGTGTCTTCGTTGTCGCTTTGTAGTATGCCTTGTGTTCTTCAGCATTCAAAGATGAATGCTTGTAGGTTGTTGATCATGTAGTCCATCATTGATGGTTTGTCCGGAACCAATACCGCCATGCACAGTTGTGTAGTAACATCAACTGCTGTTAAGACTGGTATGGTCTTCGGATCTTGTTGTGATTTGATGTAGGCAAAATCCACTTGGATGATGGGTTGTCGTGATTGTTGTTTCTTGTATTGTCCTGGCGT